CCACCTGGTTGCCTTTTGAATTTTAATGTATCGTAATGAACTTGTTCTGCGTCTTTCATTTCAGTAGTAACTATTTCCAAGGAGATTTCCCTGGGTGAAAATGTTGTCAACTACTTTTTTCCGGCTGATATTGATCTTAGTAGGCTCCTCTGCGTCTTTTTCAGGTATGTTGTTTAAATATTTCTGAAAGAGAATGATTTTTATTGTGATGTACAGGTACTTTTGTCAAGAAAATGACCGAGTTTTGCAAATAGACTGAAATTTCAGTTTCTGTATAAAAAGAGTACGACTGAAAACATTCGGGCCTCGGCGAGGACTGAGCCCAAATATTACCAAAGCGAGGTATCGGGAGTAGGGCAAATCTGAAGAAGTCACAAGACCGTGGGCACCAAGAGACGAATTGGACTTAAACCGTTACAGCTATCAGTCCCAGCATGAGGTCTCGTAGCGCAGTTTATGGTGATGCCCAACTAGTGTGTGGAAAGCAAGAACTCTGTCTCGTCATAGGCTGAATGTTTTACATTCCTTCTAATGCAATGTCTTGATAGATGGATTGATCAGTGACGATCAACTCGTATCTTTTTGTCCTATTTATCGTTGAAGCTTCTATTACTAAAATACCGTTTGATGTAGATCTTGAGTTTGTTCAGGTGGGGCATTACGAGTAGGTAGGAATTAAGGCATAGTGCACTCGCAGTAAAGTAACATTTACCACAATGGCTGATTCTGGTCTTTCGATTAAGAACATAAACAAAGATTACTTTCTTCAGCGAAAAGCCACAAGTTCACTTAAAGAAAAGCACTTTCAAAATGGTAATCCCTGTTTTCTCTGTTGTTGTTTTTCTCATTATTTTTAGATGCACGAAATTGCGTCATGCGAGACTGGAATTTTACAATTAAAGGGGAAAAGGAATGTGATATGTTTAAATACCTCGTCGGTTTTGAACGGGATGGAAATGACTACCTGCCAGGACTAAAGAAAGCCAAGTGCTGTGAAAGAGATAAAACGTTCTGGGGAGTCCCAACCCAGTGCCAGATGTTTGACTGGATCAGATCAATGGACAGGTAACATTTTAGGACAAAATTTCGGGTTACGGGAGGGGTGGGTGTGCAGCTGCTCATCAGATACTGACATTGATCCCAATTGATTTCAAGTTATGCTCAGGAAAGAAATCTTTCACATTGATGCAGTGGTGCGGTGTGCTTAATCCAAGATTCCTCATTTTGGAGCTCAACTTTCGCTTAATTGGGCTTCTTAATTAATGGTACCAACAACTATCCAGCTCCAGACACAAACCCTTCTTTAACGGTAATGAGTCAAAAAGAATCAGTGTGAACTGCTCAAGGGATCGAAGATACTTTTTCACAGCAGCCCTTCATTTCGCTGAATAATAAAGTGATGTTCTGGCAAGTGCTTATTTCTCACGTCATTCTTGTTGTCGCTAATCAAACGCGTGATTATGATCACGTTTTAAAATGCTCTTAGGACTGGAATAAGTAACTGTCCACCTGGCTTCTACCTCCGAGGTGTGTCCCGCGGAGACATGTACGGCAACGATGTCGGTAGCATTGACTGGGGCAAATGCTGTAAACCTTCTCATCATCCTTATGAACATCACGAGTGCTATCAAGAGGACGTCAGCGATACGTTTAACAGAGCCGGTCTTAGTGAGTGCAAGAGGGATGGTTTTTTTATCGCTGGATTTGAAAATCAAGATTCTGGAGGAAAGCTATCCAGCATCAAAAAGTTCAAATGCTGTCGCATGGTGGAAAGTAAGTTTTACGAATTGCTATGAAGCATATTACAATAAATGTTTCTAGCAGCGCTGTAATTTCTGCAGTTACATCTTAGCACTTCCAAATGTAAGGTCAATTTAGAAAGTATTTAAAAGATCAATTAAAAAGTAGGAAAAATTAATTTGAAGAAAAAATTGTTTATCGCTAACGATTTCGTATATTGGTAAAAATCTATGTTTATGAATGATAAAGAATTTTGTGCGATTGATCATGAGTGAATTTGATTCGTAAGAGCAATGATGAGATACATTTAAAAAGCAAGCTAACCGCGAAAGCTAGAGTGAAATTTTTACGCTATTTAATAAATTCGTCATCGACCAAGCTTGTTCTATTAAGATGGCTGGACACTAAACTCGCTCTTTTTTTGCCTCTCGGTCCATAAAACCTCAAAAAAAGAACGGCTAATATTTAGTCATCTCAGCCTCGAACTTGGTCAGAAACGCACGTTTATCTTTCTGTTTAGGCATTCCACAGCTAAAGAACATGGAGGGACTTAAACAACGTGTAATGGATGCAACCATGTTTAACATCGGACAGTTGGCTAACATGATGGGATTTGCCTGGGCTGGTGGGTGTTGGTCAAGATATGCTGGAGAACACTTCCGACGAAATAAAGACACGTGGGAATCAGCCTACAAATCTTATTGCCTGGGTGAGGGACCTAAGAAGGATGTTCGATTGAAGATTTCTTACGAAAATTTCAAATTTACGATGAAAGATGTAAAATTTGGAAAGTCCGTTAAGCAAACAATTCCACTGGACCAGGAAGAGAGGTTGATGAATTCTCCTGATAGAAGCTACAGCAGGGTATCCTCGAATAAAAAGTCAACACCAGGGTATGACTCTGAGGTCGAAATTCAGTTTCGAGTTGCAAGCACCTTGAAAAATGTTCAAAAAACCAGTTGGGATTCCAAATTTGGATTGGAAGTGGGTATGGAGTACGAGCCACCAAGCACAACAGGTGGGGTGGGATTTTCTGCCAAAAGTAGTTTTAGCTATGAATGGGGAGGAGATCAGGAAGATACCACAGTCAACGAAGATTGGCACATTCTTTCTATCAAAGAAGCTAAACAACTACCCCCAAAAACATTTTCTGAATGGCACGCCTTCAAAAAGCCTCAAAAAGTTACAATTCCATATACGGCTACGATCGTTCCCACATTCTCTGTCAAACTGGAAGGTTACATGAAATGGGGAGGTGGTTATTATGGGAATTTTCCAAATTTCCACCAGGAGCACCGCGGATCTGGAGATAGGAAAAAACTGTCGTACACGTTTGGGAGTGCTGATAAACCATTTTATGACGACCTTAAGGACCAGATCGAGCAGAATATGTACCCTTGGCAATGGCTTGCTTTAAAACAGCATTATCCTTACAGTAAGTACTTCATCGACCAACTCATTAATTCAGACCTGTATGCGTTCACTATGGAAGGCCAGTTTGAAGAAATTACTGAGAACGAGATTAAATCGAAGTGGTATCCATCGCGACCGATCTCTGAGATGAATGATGCACTTGCAAATTTAACTGCGATGCAAGACCAGGGAGAGAAGTTCCCATTATTTCCCCGCATATACCCTGAAGGACCCGCGGTAAAAATCATCGACAACAGCAAGGACATAGAAGTTCCTTATGCCAAATTGTCATATGTCAACGATGAAGAGGGACCAGAGCCTACCGTGTTTCCTCACATAGATCCGCCGGAATCCAAGGTGAGGCCCGTTAACAACAGGAAGGATTTGGAGCCTGCGCCCGCTAAGCACGGGAGGCAGGGGAAAGTGAAGAAGTTTGGTGACAAAAAAAAGGAAGAACCTAAGCCTACGATATTTCCTCCAATAAATCCTCCAGCACCCAAAGTAAAGCCCGTTGACAACAGCAAAGAAATAAAGCCTCCACCAGTTATACACTAAAAACGAGGAAAGGTAAAGCAGAGTTAAAATAACCCCGGCTGAGTTGTCCTCTTAACGTGAAAACTTCACTCTGTAATCATTAAATGCTAAATAAAAGAGGTATGACACGTTAAATTATTTCCTTGGTTCGTGATTTTATAGTCTAAAATACCTTGACTCTTAGAAAAAATTCAGACGACAACCTTCAAACGAGCACAAAGGAAACTCGGTTAAGAAAATAGGTTAAAACAAGTCAGGCCCTTTAAAATCAGTGGGAAACGGCTCACACGTTCTACCTCATTGTCTTGCGTCAACTCAGCTTTTAGGACAACTTTGATTCACGAAGGCCTTTATGTCGACATCTATGCGAACCATTAACAAATTCAATACTAATTCACGATCTGGGAGCAGTAGATGCATCTGTCGACAACTAAATTATATGGACCAAGTACCCGTGAATATACAGTAAGAGAGTTTGACCGCTTTGAAAGATAAACCGATCTGTTCAAAGGCTGTTACTGAACACAGTTACAATAATGTGAAGCGGAAAAAAAAAGAAAAAAAAACGTAACCGCAAGAGGGTTCTGGGGATAGGGAAAAAGATGAGAAAGAAGAGACCGCTGCCTCTAAACGGCGCAGAAACACCTGCCACCTCCTAATCACTAATATTCATTCAGCCCGCCTTCCTCATTGACCATTAAAAGAAAAGGGCATAACAGGCTGCCTGTGAGAGCCAGATAATAAAGATAAACACTTGTGTAAGGTTTTTAACATGAAAAATTATACTTTATTCGATGCTGTTGTGTCGTCTAGACTCAGTCAAGTTACTCCTTTCATTGCTATTGCTCAACTGAATTTTATTAAAGAATCAACAAGCTATATTCACAATACAATACTAGGAATCAGTAATACTACTTTTACATAGGAATGTACTTTTACAATCATGTACCGATCGTGTCTTACAGGATAAAGCGTGACTACAGTAACGCTTAGGTAACGCAATACACTACAGATGCACTTTGAGAAAATTATTGATTCAGCATTGTCTAATTTATCTGTCGTATCACAGAGATTCACTTTTCTTCTATTCTTGCCTTAACAATAACGTGTGCTCTGCAGTAAGGAAAGGCAACGTGAAGCTTGTTCGAGAATGTATGCTGATAAATCAATTCTACTGTATTGAACGAATGTAAATTTTGCGGCTACCAGCCTTTTTAACAAAGAAACAATTAAAAAGGCCAATAAGAACAATAAAGAAATATATTAGACTTATTATGAAAAATCTGACTGATCGAGAGTATACCATTAAGACACAATAACGTGTAAAAATGACTATGATGATAAATACAATATCTGCTGCGGATAAGGCATTTATCATGTCGAGTTCAAAGTCTGCCTTGTTTTACAAGTCCTTCGTCCTTGCTATGTTCCTAAACTTTTGCAAACTCAAGGAAAGTGTCTTCTTTTGCAGATTGTTTACAAAATGTTTAATGAAACAATTCTAGAACTTGGTTTTCACATGATATCATGAATTATCAAACCTCGTATCTGTCTTATCAGCCTCAGCGTCGGTTTTGGTAATTCTTGATATCATGCTCAAACTAATCCTCTAACTACTTATTATTACCGTTATTATCATATGCATTAATATCATTATAACTATCTTAAAATAAGTACAAATTTTGATACATTTAATTCTATATGCTCTTTCATACATCATTTCAATTAACACTCTGCCCTTGAAAATAAAGAGCTCAAATTTCTTCGTTTACTGAAACTAGACATCCTAAATGTGGTATTGTATCAGCAGCGCACGTAGGACAAAGAACGCCTCCAGCCTTTCTCACGTTTCCACCCTAGAGAAAGAAAGAAAACCTCGGCAAAGTTCGGAGGTATGGCAGCCTGGACAAGTACACTAATCTCTTTCGCTGCGGTTCTTCTGAATTCTACCCAACCCTTCCCCGTCCCCCTCTATTTGGACACGTAAATTTATAAAGAAGAGACTTGTCAGATTTGTTTACTGAGAAGAAAAGGAAGACTAATCAAGGAAAAATTTGTCCACGAAAGTGTTGGATCAATGTCAGTATCTGGGTAACCGCGCACCTAGCCCTCCCCCTACAACAGTTAACTGATAACAAGACATGATTAACGGATAATGTTGGGTTTTGGGGAGGGTAGGTGCATGGTTGCTCAGATAACTACAGGGTGCCAATCATAACGGTTCTAGCACAGAAAAAAACAAACAACAACAAAAACAACAACAAAAGCAAACACAATGAAACAACAACTACAACAAGAAAAAGCTAAATATCACAGACAGTTAACAAAAAGAAGATAAGGTTGTCAATACCATCCTTCACGTTGCAAACGAACAAACCTGCATAATACTCACTCACATTCACACCAAAAGCGCACTGCACGCACGCGATGTACTGACCAACGCCCTTTTCTCATGGACACGAGTACACATTTAAGAATTATGTACTAAATCGCGCACAATTAGACAATCTATCACCAAAAAAAAAAAATTGCTAAGTTTTCCAGCTTACCAGTACAACACTTTCTTTCTGAATCACAACGTGAGGCCGCGGACAAAACTCGACATCTTCCTCACAGTCTAAACAGAAGGCCGGCTGCAAATGAAAAAGATAATTTGGTATTATCAACTGAGTTGATAATGTAAATAGGCCATCGTAAAGAGTTTTTAAAGCTAGTGTTTCGAGCGTTAGCCCTTTGTCAGAGCGACTGATACCTGAGACAACTCCTTCGGTGATACCACCTTCACGAAATGTTCCTGAAAGTGACAAAAACATAAACTAATTAGGTTCAAGAACATGCACTCATAACTGATGCGAAACAAGTGAAGTCAAGGAGCAGAACTAAACAACAAGAAACATACAACAATACAGGGCAAGCTTCAGCTCATGTTACGCCGTGCGGCTTACCTTTTTGTACCCAAGAATGTTGAGAATTGTACTATTGAGTTGGAGGCACTTCTTTGCTCGACTCACCGCGACATACACCAAGTTTCTTTCATCTTCACCATAGTCATCTAAACATATTACACAGGCAACTTGAATCAATAGGGAATTCTGGTTGCCTAGTGTTTAACCCTTCAACTCCCAGAAGTGATTAGCTCGTAACTTCTTCCTATAATATCCATACATTATCCAGAAAAAAGGTAACGAGAATACTCAGACTAATCAGATAGAAGTTGTTATCTTGATCTAACATCAAATTCTCGTAACTAATTTACAAGGAAATGTGCGACAGGTAGAGGGGAGAACTGATTAACAAGCTGAATTCTGGGTCCCAGATTCTAGGTTTAGTCCACGCCCGAGATTATTTTGCGCTGCTCTTGGGCATTTGAGTGTCACAATGTCTTTCGCTACTCAGAAGCATCAATGGACGCCGGCATAGAGTCAGATGTAACTGATGCACTGCTGGACAACGGTATACGAAAGGAGGAGTAACAATACTCCTGCCCCGGTTGTTCGAAGGTTGGATAGCGTTATCCACTGGATAAATCTCCATCCGGTGGATAACACCATACAATTTGCTATCCCTTATCCATCGGATAGCAATTTATCCGTTGGACAGCGTTATCTGCCTTTTGTACAACTAGGCCATGAACCACACCATACCGAAAAAATCTGAATCGGCCATTTTCCAAGATTGACCCTTAAGTCAAGTACGGAAAACCCGGCCAATATCATTCCTTTACCTGTTTTTGGCGGAAAGGATGGGTAAATAAACATCAGACTGAAATGCTGTACAACAGAGACATAGATAACTAGTACATAAATTTTCTCGATAACCATTATGCTGTTTGCCTGCGGTGCGAGTTAGTTAGTGGTTGAAGTCGAAGAGTGAAGTTTTAGAAACAAGGTCAGTGTTTTCTGTAGTTGGGATGTTAGACTATCTGAGTGGAAAAAAAAAGAAAGAGCTGACTGTGGTGTAAATCCCCACCGGGATGGAGGATTCACACCTGATTTCACCCGCTTGTAAAAATAATGTTTTACTTACATAATGGAACACCCATCTCTATTCCAGGTAGAAAATCATCTGTGACACGAACTGTGTCGAATTCAAGCCCTTTGGCTTTGTGTGCTGTGGAGAAAACAATATCTGCGCGGAAGAAAACAAAAACAAAGATAACCAAAGGCAGAAATGATAAACACATCAAAGGATTCTAAGGTTTCATTAAATAAAAGCAACTTGCGTGACCAAATTTGGAAAACTGTGCCAGCGGACGAATTAGCAGAGTGGCGAAAGGAACAGTGACACCTTAGGGCAATCAGATTATTTTCGAAACTCCATTGAAATCTTCTCCAGCTTGCAGACACTTTATAATTTCATCGTCACATACATGTAACATGAAGCAGTCGACTAAAACTCGCGAAAGTTTTTCGCTGGTTTTCTTTGCTTTCGCGTTTGTACTTGTTTTTTTTTTCCTTCTGAATAGCCTTGCCTTTACAGACCACACTTTGCTAGCCTCTTAGAAATCGTGGATATGTCCCTGGGTACAAACAGTTTTTGTTTGTTTGCCTATTGGTTAACTATGGTTTTATTAATATTTTTATATATTGTTCCGTTTGGTTTAGAAAACATCACAAAATTTCTTTTTCCAGTTAATAGGGAACATCAATTATGGAGCTTCACAATTATTTCTTAACTTTCTTATCCGCCTGCCGTAACTTTGTGACGGCTTTGGAAGTTATCTTATCTATTTTTTGCGGCAGCATAACATGATGTGCCTCAACGATCTGAAACAACAAGTGAAACTATAGTGTAGCTACTTCAGATTTGAGTAAACTGTCTGATTTATTTAGCAACAGTGAAAGCACATTGGCTGAGATGCTGGAAAAATGTAAGTGAATAAGCTGCATTTAATTTTAGTTCTGTATCTGATTGGTTAGGAGAGGCGCGCGTTTACTGGACCAATCACAGAAGGTGGTGAGCAAAACCAATGACACGGTCAAAAAGTGTTCGACTAACTGTTCATAAAATAAGGTGAGATACAAACCTTAATCTTGCTCAGCAGTTTCGGGTCAGGAGCAGATTTCGCATACTTCTTCAATTCAGAAAATGAACGGAATTTCTTGATAAAAGCGTCCTTGATTTTTAAGTGAGCTACAAGAAAAAGAAACAATTTATGCTCCAAGCTACGTCATTCTTTTAATAAATTTTTATCGATCTGCGAACTGTTTCAAAAGTGCAGTCATGCCCAAAATTAAACGAAACCCTGTTTTACTTCTGGAGAAAATACCAGTTATACCCATTCGAGTAGCGTTGACTAGATGACATTATCACAGGTTTTTGTTGCAGGCGACATGATATGACGGTCAATCTTAGCGTAAAAGTTGAAGCGAATAAAATAATAACTTTGGTTTTCAGTATCATTACATGAGTGGTTATCAGAGCAACTGCATCTTATTTCGTTTGTTTTTCGCTTCTTTTTCCTAGAAATTCGAGAAATGGAATCATTTTAAAACTGATTATTTGTTGCATTTAACTCGCCCGGGATGATTTCAGTAAGAAAAGACCCGATAATAGGCCATCTCCGAATTACCTTTGGCCTCATTTTCAAAGCGAGTCCTGGTGCTCATCCTTTCCTTTGATTATAACTTTTCATTCACATGCAAATTAATCTCATTTTCGTACGAATGGCTGAGCACCAGGTCTCGTTTTGAAAATGAGGCAAAAGGTAATTCGGAAATGGCCTCTTGACCAGTCAGAGCCCACACATATGCAGAATTACCACAAACAGTCCTATAACCCTCATTTATAGGTCCTATCATATTTTAGCCGACAACACTCAAGTGCTTTTGGTATTTTTCATACCAGACTTCACTTTAAGGCTAGTTAAGTACGTCCGCCATACACGCATCTATGTCTGATAACCCCCATCGTGTTTCATGTCACTTACGTTTGTTTGTACCAGCAGTAAACAGTTTGTGGATGTCCAACACTCGATCAAGCGCCAGGCTTTTAAGACCCTGAGGAGAAAAGAAGGAAAAGAATGACGTTTGTAAGCAAAATGTATCTTGAATACCCGTTTAAGATTACAGTTTGATGTGAGATATGGACGACTGTTCTCGCAATTGTGGGTTTGGGTGGTACTTTGTGTAGGCATGATTATCTTCCGCTATTTCGTTCTCGGCAAGTTGCATGCTCTAGACATGACCCTAGGCATGGTCCCAAGAGTGGCCGGAAAAGAATTCTCACTTCTATACTAATACATTTTCCCTGTCCTCTTCTCGAGGTTTTGCATCTCGCAGGGTTTTGCATCTCGCAGGGTCGTATGCATAACTTTTTCTAACCCTGCTCGTGCCACACAGTCCTAAAACAAGGAGCCGCACGGGTCCGATGATACACGAACTCGTGAAAACAAAAACAGAAATATCATTTACGCCTCACCCCAACAAAACCAACTTTTTTGTTGTTGTTCGCACAGCACACATTAGCAGCCTCGTTGAACAGAGTAAAATTACAGCGTGTAATCACGCACAGCTGACCAGATTGCTCACCAAGCACTGAGCCTACAAAACGAATAATAAATAACATAAGGATCCATTGAGATCGATTGAGAAGGTGGCGAAAGTTTCCAAGACCAGCGAAAGAAGGCAGTAAAGCGACACCAATTAATTTAATGATAAGTCCGAGATTGAAATTGATGATTGATATTAGAGGCAACAAGATAAACATGCGAGCGAGCACAACTTGCCTCTTGGGTTCAGAGGGAGTATTAATCATACAAATTACCCTTGAAATTTTAATGATTTCTAGTATAAAGGTGTTGTATTTACCTTTCTTAGCTCCTCCAACCAAAGTCTTGTTTCGCACACCTTTCAACACGTCCAAAACACAAGACGCAACATAAGCTATCTCCGGACCAAAT